AGGCGGCTATTCGCCCCGTCAGCTTTTGCACCTGCTTTTTGCTGTTCAGTATCTCGGGTATTGCGTCTATCGGCTTGATCTAATCTGGATTGACTTCGATACCTCGTTGTGATACGAGAAACCCTAAGAATTTTACTGAAGCCACGCCGAAGGCGCATTTCTCGGGGTTCAGTTTCATCCCATACCTTCTCAATATCTCGAAGGCTTCTTTCAGATGGTCGATGTGGTCCTCTTTTCTTGTCGACTTTACCAGCATGTCGTCGATATAGACTTCCATAGTCTTACCGAGCTGCTCTTTGAACATTTTGGTGACCAGTCTCTGGTACGTAGCCCCTGCATTTTTGAGCCCGAAGGGCATTACCTTGTAGCAGTAAGTCCCTTGGTGGGTTATGAAAGTTGTCTTCTCTTGGTCCTCCTCGGCCATCATGATTTGATTGTAGCCGGAGTAGGCGTCTAGGAAGCTCAGTAGTTCGTGTCCTGCAGTGGCGTCGATCAGTTGGTCGATGTGGGGTAGTAGGAATGAATCCTTTGGGCATGCTTTGTTCAGATCAGTGAAATCCACACACATTCTCCACTTCCCGTTTTTCTTTTTGAACATGAAGACATTGGCGACCCACTGGGGGTACTTTGATTCTCTGATGGAGCCGTTGGCCAGTAACTTGTCTACTTCCTCACTGATCGCTTCATTGATAGCGGCGTTGAATTTTCTCCTCATCTGTCACACGGGCGGATGTAGTGGATCGACGTTCAGCTTGTGGGTGGCGATGTCTCGCGGGATTCCCGGCATATCTGAATGGGAAAAGGCGAACAAATCTGCATGGTTAGTTAAGAATTCACGATACTTACTTGGGTTGGCGAGACCGTGCCCGATATAGGCTTTCTTCGTAAGATTGGTTTTGTCCAATTGGACTGGGTCGAGATCTTCGACCGTCGCTTTACAGGCCTTCATGATGTCGGGGTCTTTGATGGCGTCCGTTGTCGGGTTGACCTCAGTCCCCGACACGGCTAATTGTTATGCCTCCGCGCTCGCCCCCTTTAGCTATTGGGTGTGGGCGCAGTCTTGGGCTATTTTGTAGCATTCTTGTGCGGTGCGTGGCTCGCCTCGAATACTGAATACTCCCCATGGGGTAGGGAATTTGATCACTTGGTAAAGGCTTGAAGGGACCGCTCGCATGGCGTGTATCCACGGGCGTCCTATGATGACGTTGTACGCCGTTTCTTGGTTCATCACGTGGAAAGTTGTTTCCAGCGTGACTCCTCCCGCTAAGACGGGCAGTGCTATTTCTCCGGACGTCCGTTCCACTGCATTGTTAAAACCGGTTAGTGTTATGCAGCGCGGTATTACCCTATCCTCGAGTCCCATTTGTACGAGGACCCTTAGGTGGATAATACAGGCGCCACTTCCGTCATCGATCATGACTCTTTTAACATCCGTATCAGCGATACGTAAAGTGATAACTAAAGCATCATAATGAGGGAAAGACAAACCGTCGGCATCAGACTTATCGAAGGTGATACTATCTTCGAAGTCGTCATACCGTTCATGGGCGATGGTCCGCTTTAGTCTGTGTGTGGTGGCGAACTTGACGTGATTGATCACTGACTCGTCGCCGCCTCCGACGATCATGTTTATCGTGCGCGCTGGGGAAGGTGGCTTCGGCGGCCCGTGGGGTTGTTCTCGTCCGCGTGCAAAGTTGATTTTCCCTTTGTCACTGAGTAATTCCCTCAGGTATCCCTGGTTCAGCATCCTGACCACCTCTTGCCATAGGCCTATGCGGTCTTCGGTTTTGTGTCCCCTTCCTGATGGAACTCACAAAGGGCGTTTGATTTCCTTGTGGCAGGGTCTGATTTCATCTTCTGCAGCCACTGCACCTTGGTGCCAGCTTCTCTAGTGCGTACACTATTTCTGAAGGAGATACACAAAAGTTATGGGCGGTTAATAAAGGGGGCGTACCTCTTTCGTTTCGGAGTGGGGCGACGTGTCGCTGTAGCGCGTCTGTATGCCTTGGTGGCGGATGGAAGGATCTGGTGTATGGCTGATGTCGATCTCTGTTGGAGCGGGGGAGTTGTTCTCGTCGTCCTTCGTTCCGTCGATCTCTCCTCGTTTCTGAGTGTATCGCTGTTAGTCGTTGGGTCGGCCCATTAAGATCGTCCTCGTCCGCTCGTACCTCGGCGCAATAGGCGTTGTGGATTTCCTCCCATGTGGTAGGGGGATATTTCATGAGGCGGCTCAGCAGCTTCTTGGTTGCCCATGAACCATCCCTGCTCAGCCCGTTCTGGAAAGCGGCGATTGCCATACCTTCTGATACGTTTGGTAGACTCATCCTTACCCTGTTAAACCTTGCCAGGAAGTCCCTGAGTCCCTCTCCTGTGGTTTGCCTGACGGCAAAGATGTCGTTGACCCTGGCCTCCGCTTTCTTCGCGCCTGCATGGGCTGTGACGAACTTATCCGCCATTTCCTCGAACGTTGATATTGCCTTAGCCGGTAGCTGAGAGTTCCATGTTAAAGCCCCTCCTGTCAACGTCTCGCCAAACTTCTTCAGCAGTACCGACGGCACCTGTTCTTTTGATAGGTCGTTGCCCTTCACAACGGTGACGTAGTGGATCAGATGATCCTCGGGATCTTTGGTTCCGTCATATACCCTCAAGTAGGGTGGCATCTTGAAGGTTTTTGGGGTGGAGTGAGGGGCAGCTTCCTCAGTGTATGGTTGTTCAACGAACCTTCCCACGTCGCGTTTTGGTAGCAACTTGGGAGCACCGGGGATCTTGTCGACCATCTCCTGATGTTCCTTCATCTGATCGCGGAGCGCCTTGTTTTCATTTTCCGTTTCTTCCATCTTCTTTAGGATGGCTGTTAGCGTGCCATCGTTGGTCTGTGTCTCGACGGGTTCGTTATTTGCTAGTGCAACTTCCGGTTCACCCACGGTAGCAGTGGTATCTACCGTTGGTGCACACGTGATGTTACTTTGTGGTGACCTCTCAACCAAGCCACTTAGAGTGCTTGTTAGCCATCTTTCCAGTAGCTTCTTGATCGCTGAGGGTGCTTCCGTAGCCGCAGATGCGGAAGCTCCTTTTTCGTGCAAGATCGTCAGATCTTCGGATGGGGAAGGTGAGATCTCTGCTCCCGGTGTGATGCTAGGGGTTGCATTCAGGATGACATCGTCACTGGCCTCGTTGAGAGGGCCAAGGAGATTGGTAGTGACACCCAATATAGCTTTCGATCTTGTGTTATTTTCGGCCATCCTCTGTTTTTGTGTGGTGTAGAGAGTGGTAGCTGGTTGATCTCTAGGTGGATACTATGGTTTTGATTCTCGAAATCCCCACAGACGGCGCCAAATTGTTTGGCTCAAAAATTAACAATATACTTTGTAAGCTAGAAAACAATCAAAAGTAAGGGAAGGGTAAATCGTAATCAAATATAGTAGACCTAGAGATGTAAAGATGATGTTATTGTTGTAGATCTAGTATTATACAGTGATAATATGAACTCAAGAGAATATGTTCGTTTGAGACAGAGATAGAGAGAGAAAGTCAGAAAATGAGAGAGTTGTATTATTCTAGAGTCCCCTTTTACAATGTGAAGGTCTCCCTTATATAATAAGAGACCTTCCTCGAAATAATCAAAAAGTTACAAAAATAGGTAACGTTTTCCTAGTGAAGACACTGAGTCCTAAACGATGTCGCTTTTGTCCCCACGTCCGAGTCGTACCCATTACGTTAGTCGGCGTACACTCACTGGGCGTACCCACTGGCGTAGAGACGCTGGCGATCAAATTTGACCCTATACAAAAATCATTATGGGCAATTGTGTATGTGAAGCGTTGTGTTTGTATCGTGAGGAGACTTGTGTTGTTAAGCGGTGAATTTTCAAGATTAAAATGCGAAAAAACGTAGAGGCATGAAAATGCATTTCCTGTTAAATGGGAGTACCACGTAGCCTGTCTACTATATTATATTTATAGATTGCTTGGTCCAATTTGTCGCTTAATGTTTAAGGTTATACGATGGCATCACATGAAAGTTCGGGGTTCCAGGAAGAAAGTCGCAATGGCAGCCCCTGGGGCCCCAAATGCAATGTATGAAGTTGAGTCACTGCTGCAGCAGCCCCATAGAACAACGATTGCAACACCCTTACTTTGGACATACTGTCTTCCATGCTTGGGTTGCGACCTATCTTCCTTTGCTCTGAGCCAAACCCCTCAAAATAACTAATGCTCTCTTGCTATGATCACGACACCCGTCCATTTTGGAAATTGTGCCCTTTTACCACCCAAAGTCTATTTTTGAATTTTGGTTTGGGTTTTAGTGGCTGTGCCTCCAAACGCGATGGCCCCTTGACCCCTCATCGCTAACCGGCTAGAGAGACCACCACAATGGGGCACCACTCTTATCGCACTTGCAGTTTTTTCTCATCTTGTGGTTAGTGTCAAAACAGTAAAATAATGGAATCCCTACATATTTTAAGAAATAGCAAGATTAAGTGGGATAAAAGACAACTCGAGACCGACCTCACTTCTTCATCAAGATAGGGCTCGATCAACCATTCTTGTTAACATACATAATAGTTGGTATTCCAGAATAGCCAAATCATTGACCTCCGACAAGTTAACACACCACCTCCAGCATCAATCTTTCAGTAAGCATAGCTCTCGTTTCAAAAGAGGTGGTTGACTCCCACCATTTGAATAGGCAATGTCTTCAATATTAATAACAGGAAAACTTGATCCAGAAAGATCAGTAGAATATAGAGGGTTCTTTCAGTGTGAAGACTCTGAATGATTCACAAACCGAGAAATTGGGAAACATAAAACGAGTAGATGCAAAACAGAAACTCGGATCAAACTAGGTCACAACTGATTCCATATCAGTTTACAGCTTTTAACTGTCCAATGCAAGGAATCTACTTCTTTTCCCCCTTCACCTGTTTACCCAAAACCCCAATCCATCCTTGTTCCCCTTGATAACGTACAGTGTGATGTCTAGAAGAGCAAATGAAAACGTTGGCATAGCCTCAAACCAGAAGCTAACACACTCGGCCAACTAAATATTGGCCATATCAGAGCAATTACATTGATAAATCAGATTCGTGCTTCTTTTGTTTTAAAGTACATTGATGAATCAGATCCTCATAGCATAATAGCTTGAGTTTAGAAAAAAAACGACCCTATACAAATAGGCCAAAAATCTAAATTGAAATCGTAATTATTATACTAAGGAATTTTCCAACAATATCTCACTGTAACTTTTCTTGATAGCTGGTGTCCTCAACTAACCACCGAGTTCCTGCTATCTCTCGCCGTATTCGTTAACTCTATCCAACAAGGTTAAGACAGTTAGGAAGAAATCACCTAGTGCTTTTTGAATCCACTGAAATTTGAACTGTGGTCCTCGATAATCTTTGTTTAACTAATAGCTGCTTCAAGGACCAAACCAGTAGTTTTTCACCACTGCCATTCAAAAAAAGGAGCCTTGTTTTCATGTCACTGACCACTACTTCATGTTAGTCCCCTCAGTCTTCAGGACAGAGTCCCCTTAACCTCCCTCTCGGTCAGTTATCCCTCTTGCTCAGTTCATCTTGTGAAGATTGAGCTAAAACCTAGGGCTCTGAATGAATGACTTCAACAACTTCATGCTTGGACCATGACAATATAAAATATCTTGGCCCTGCCGTCTCGTGGTGATATTATGATATATCTGGTCAATGAAAACTGGAATAAGAAAATGTAGAATCAACAGCCAATATAGCTTCATTCATAACTTAAAAATAAAATAAGGTAGGAAATTTGCTGTTACCTTGACACTCACATTGTTGTAGAAATTCCTCAAGATCCACCACTTACAGTGATACTTGATATTTCTCCAGGTCTCCACAATCAAGCAAGTATTGAGCTCCAGAAAAAATCATGGGTGTGCTCCTGGATAAGCGCTTGACATTATAGTTCGCCAAAAACAAGAGAATAAGCTAAGTCAGGCCCACACAACAGTAGAGTTCATAGAAGTTGAAAAGCCAATTGAAAAATCAAAAGCATAATACTATTATGGTCTTAGCCGATTTATTAACTTGGAGCCTTACTAACAACAGATTACAGTGCTAGTTCTTGGAGGAAGGATTTTATTGATAGATATGGAAAAGAGAGATGTGATAAGGTAAGACAATACATCCCCACATTACCAACAATCAAAAAAATACGTTCCCAAATTACCAGATAAGAGAATTAAGAAGGAAATAGAACCATAGAGGCTCTCTAGTCTAATCCCATCGTAGTAATGTTAAAGCTAACGTTAAGAAACGCCTACAAACCCTCCAAAGAAGCTCCTAGGAAGGGCCCTCAAAAATTCCTGTTACTCTCCATTCTCACATATGTTGCTCGGGCCCTTCAAATCCCTTCCGCACCCATGTCGATCCAACACGATTTGCGTGTGAGTGGAGGAGGAGGGGTCCACATTGGATTTGGTCAACTTACCTTGGATGCTTTGACTACATCTACTTGATTTGAGTTTTGGGTTTATATCATACGTAGATAGTTATACAAAGTATGAGAACGCATTACTATTACACGAGAAATCTTATGAATAAAAAATTACGTATTTATTAAGAATTATATTTTATTAGTTTTAGCTCAATAAGGTTTACTAATCATTTATATACTCATATATGCTTCAATGCACATTTATTGACAGTATCCCAGCACCTGTATTTGTACTCAGATCCATAACCCCAAATCCAAAAACTTATGTTATGAAAAATCCAACCTCCATCCGCACTCGTATTGAGTACCCGCATCTGAGCAACATAGATTCTCATGCACCAAAGACGAAGGGAAAAAGAAGGAAGAGAGACATCTCCGACAATGCATCTCACTGAATGGCTTCAGATTCATCCTCAGGGCATCCTACCATTTCGCTTTCAATTTGAACTCGAAATTGAGTGTGGTGTAGTTCTCCAACACTTCTGTCCACTGTACAACGCAGAAAAGATATTTATTGTCTTTTTCTGACACATGAAACAATGACTGGTCATAATCTTCTCTCTATGTTGCAGTTATCCAAAAAACGAAAAAAAATAAATGATTTAACTTATATTTCCAAAATATCTATCATTTCTGTGTGGGCTTCTACATCTTCATACTTTTGGGTTTATGCTGATCTCCGCTGACCACACAGAAAAAGGAGGAAAAACAATTTCCTTTCAAACCATTTTTATACAGATTCAAAAGTATGACTGATATAACATTTAATAATAAAATAAAATAATCGTCATCTTATCTCACTTAAATATTTAAAGAGAAAAATATTCCAATTATTTAAGCCTTGGTAAATGAAAATTCAAGAAATTTTTTCTTTTATAAGTAAGGTAAAGTCCTAGTTTCCCACAAGAAAATCACAGAGTTAGGCTTAATACATACATTAGTCCTCCAGTTTGCACAGAAATCCCATTTACACACCTTTTCTTCGTGGCATCCTTCTTAATTCTGCAAAATCCATGTCTAAGACCCTCCTAGATGACATAAGACCACTCCCTCTTGGAAGTACATGATACGCACCACTCATGACACGTCATGGAAAAAAAATGAAAAAAGGTCCATCCTTGCTAGCTTTCCACCATTTTTCCAAGCCAAATTTACCGGCGAAAACCCCCTTTTCCCATTGCCCTTTTCTTGGTTGAAATTTTGGCTGGACCAAATCTTGGCAGTCTCTGTAGAAATCTTTCTCTATTTTCATTCCCATAACCCTGTGGGCCTTCTACCATCACTTTTTCTCGACAAACTTTGCCGGTAACAAACCCATTTTCCCATTAACAGATTTAAAACCAAAAAGAATGCAAAATATGCATGAGAAACAAAGGATCTATTTCATTATCCTTATCTTTTGTATCTTTTCCCTGCTTTCTCGTTCCTTCTTCCTAACTTCCCTCTGAGAAATCTTGGGAATCAAGTGACCAAGAGAGCTTCTGCTTAACTGGACCGCAGTTGAGTTCATGTGGCTAACAGTAGAGTATGCACCTCTAGTTGCTGCGTTCAACATGGTTGAGCTCATGTGGTTAACAGTAAAGTGTGCACCCTATAGTGGTTGCTTACTGGAGCAACGGCGTACCGGAGAGTTCAGAGGATAAGAACTATTGGAGTAGAAAAAGAAAGAAGGAAAGAGAAAATAAAGAAAAGGAAAAGAATATACAATAAGGCCAAAAAAAAAGTGTAAAAAAAGAGGTAGCATCTAAAAAGAAGAAAACAAGCTGAAAAATCTTTGAAAAATGGGATTTTGACAGATTTTTAACCCTTGCACGCTTTGCTTGGGCTGGTAAGTGATGCAGCGACGCACATGCCACATGGCATTTTCGTGGGGCTTTTGCTATGGGAAATAGACACGAAGAAAAGTAAAGGATTTTTGTCCACGTTTGAGGAGTAAAGTATGTATTAATCCTATGTTTCGTGGGATTTGTATTAATCAATTTAGTCTTTTTCTTTTGATATTTAGCATAATCTGTATACCTTTTCTTTTCAATAAGAAGACATCAAACCCAAATGCAACATTTCCAACCCAATGTTAAGCACCAATTGTGAGACAACTTACCGCCTTTCTATTGGAAACAAAGTCTCTACCTTCACTAGGTACTAGGTAGGGGTAAGGTCTGCGTACACACTACCCCCAGACCCCAAGTATGGGAATATACTGGGTATGTTGTTGTTACCGCCTTTCCTCTGTTTCCCGGGAGGATCAAACCCAGGGGACAAGCCGATAATTCTCTCAGCACAATAATGAATGGTATCACCTAAGAAAGACAAAAGAACCAGTTGGGTCGATACATGTATTGACTAGTATCATGCTTACACTAGTTTTTTTTACAGGGGTATCTAGTTTACACTTTACAATAGTCTTATTAATATCTAGCATATGAAACAACTACTATAGAAGCTTTGTTTGATATGGAACCAAGCACAAATAAACAGAATACAAAAGGATGATATTGATAAATTAGTAGAGACACCGGACAAGCTATACAGAGAATACAGTCTAGTTTAGGAACCTCCAAGAACAAATATGAAAAAAGAGAGGATGACAAAAGGAAGGCCCTATTTCAATCTCCGACAACTCATCTTTAACTTCTTATGAATCACCATTAATTTGACTTCCCCTAACAAACTAAACTTTCATTAATAACTAAACCTATAAACTGGTATGCCTAGAAATACATACTTTCAGTAGAGTGGATAACCCTCATTTACAGCAATAAATCTGACACAAAAGATTCTCGGAAAAACTTTCAAATCTTCCTTTATTGTGCTCATACAAAAGAAGAATGGTGCGAAGGATATACACTCAATAGTATACTGGGGAACGTTTATAAAATAATATCCAAAGAGCTAGATGGAAGGTCGAAACTGGTAAGCTCATCTCCACATCCCAGAATGCTTTTATTGAAAGACATATTCTAGATGCATCCTTTATAGCAAATGAAACGGTCAACTCGAGATTCAGGAAAGGAGAACCCAGAGTATTGTGTGAACTGGACATCAAGAAATTATCTTATCTATGTTTGGAAGAATGGGTTTCGGCTACAAATGGATAACATTGAGCATAAATAGTTACATCCAGAAAGTATCAGCTAACTGCTCATGTATCAGCACTAAGCTGGTGCTGTGAATTACATCCAAAAAGTTCCCGAAAGTACACAACAGGTTCCTACTAACTGCTCATGTAGGCAATGAAATCTAGCAAGGTTTCAGCTTTATATACAAATTCTAGTTTTCAACAAAACATAATATGTACTTACCAGTCAGTTGTTATCTCATTTTTTCTATTTTAGAACATTTAAACATGTGAGCACAAAAGAAAACAGGAGTAAACTGAAACTTACCTCAGTATTGAGATGGGGTTGAATCGGATATGAGAAAAGACACAGTATAATCCAACCTCTTCAATGATAGAACCAGAGAAGAAAAATACTATTTCTCAGGTTTGCATATTATGAACTGCATAGTTGACTACTTGTAACCGACGCCAGTCCTCTTTTCATCATTTCATTTTGCAACGCAAGAACTTCTTCTAGATTACCGATCTCTTGATATTTTCTTATAAGACATGAATATACAACCTTATCAGGTTTAACGCCCTTGTCAATCATCTCATCAAAAAAAATTCTTGCCTGAGGCACCTGGCCATTTTCCGAAAGCCCACAAATCAAAGCAGTGTAGGCATGAAGGTCAAGCTCCAAACCACTTTCGGTCATTCTCCTTCGCAAATCTAAAGCATCTTGAATATTTCCCTGCTTTAGGTTTCCATCAATCAAGGATGTATAAACTATTTTATCTGGAAGTATACCTTTGCCAAGCATTTCATCAAACAGCTTTTCTGCCGCCTCTAGACATTTATTTCTACAGAAGCAATGAATAAGAGCTGTATAGACCACAATATTAGGATGCAAACCCATTTTTGGCATTGAATGGAAATGGTCCATTGCTTCGTGGACAAATCCCAACCGACACAAGCCATCAATTAATGCAGAATACGTCACAATAGTAGGGGAAATATCTCTTTCCTGCATTTCGTTTAGCAGAGTCTGTGCTTCTATGGGTTTTCCAGCCTTAAAGTAAGCATCAGCAAGTATTGTGTATATGACATAGTTTGCTTCTATTCCAAGTCCCTTTATTTTATCAAATAAAACCTTGGCTTCTTCAAACTTCTCATCAGAGCAGAAACTCCATAAAACTATTCCATAGAGTAATGTGTCTGGTCTGATATTATTTTCTTTCATTTGCTCCAAAATTTTCATAGCATCCACTAGCCTTTTTGATTTGATATACCCAAGGATGAGAGCAGTATAGACTTCTAAATTTGGGATAATCCCATCCTTCAGCATGACCATAAAAACTTCTTCAGCTTTCTTGATTTTCCCTTCTTTACAAAAACCGTCAACCAATGTCGTGTAGGTCACAACATTTAACTTAACTCCTACCTCTAGCATCTCTTTAACAAGTTTCAAAGCTTCATCAACTTTACCAGCTTTAAAATGTGCATCAATCAACGAAGTATAAGTAAATTCATTAGGAGCAAGACCAACCCGCCTCATGTCAACAAAGAACTTGATAGCTCCTTGTAACATCCCTTCTTTGGCAAAAACATCGATAAATATGCTATAAGTAACAACATTGGGCTTCAAGCCACTTTTCTTCATCTCATGCAGATACTTAAATGCTAATACCATCCTTCCAGATCGACAAAAACAATTGATCAGTGTATTATATGTTACTACATCAGGAAAACATCCAACTTTCTTCATTTCTTCATATAGAGAAACCATATCGTCTAGTTCCCCATGCTTACCAATTCCATCAATGAGAGAATTGTATGTAATTATATCTGGATCAATGCCAATATCCTTCATCTGAGTGAATAACCTTTTTGCAGCATTCAAGTCCCCATCCTTACATAAATAGCCAATCATTATATTGTAGGTGTACACTGTTGGAATAATTCCAGACTCAATCATATCCTCGAAGAACTTCAAGCATGAGCTTTTATGGCCTAACATTGAGAGTCTGTGCAAAAGATAATTACAAGACCGCGCTTTGGGAAGAACTCTAAAACTTGTCATCCTTGAAAAGCAGTCACTAGCCTCCTTAAGCAACCCTAACTCAATTAGAACACTAAATAATGCATCAAACACCCCATACCCCGGCACACAAGTGTTCCTCGTTGACCAAAGAACATCAAGTACATGGGAACAAGGCAACACCTTTTTAGCATCACTCAAAGTAACCAGCTCTTTTAGAACATCAAGTGTATCACTATACATTCTAGAACAGAACAAAATGTGAGCTACAATACAATAACTCTCCGCAGTATGAACAAAAGCAGTCTGCGTTTTGGCCCACTTGAAAAACTTCAAAACTAACCTTGGTTCTTGTTTCAGTGCCAAAAGGATTTTGGGGATCCAAATAGGAGCTAAAGCAGAGTCAAAGAGTCTCACAATCCTAAAATCATCCCATTTCTCTTCCCGTATGATATTTTCTATAGAGTCGGCATTAAAAGTAGAAGTATTATTTGTGGAAAATGAGTATCTGAATAAGCAAAGGAAACTGTTGACAAAGAAGAACAAGTTTTGCGGGAATGGAATGAAGGGAGTAGTAGTAGTAGATGATAAAGTAGGAGAAGCTAACAAATGGCTTACACGGCGCTGAGACTTTCTGAATAGGCCGCGAACAAAAATTAACATGGCGTGAGCATACAAATACAAAAGTAGAGCTTCAGTAATTGACTCCATTCATTGCTACCCAACACACACAATGTTTTAAGGTATGGGTGTGAATAGGGGCCGCTTCTGCTGCTGCTGCTGAGTTTTTTTTAGGGTTTAAGCAGCGGAGATGTGAAATACAACCAGTCCAGGGCCTCGTGCTAATCTGACACTACCAAATAGACATTGTACTGTTTTCGAGTATACAATACTAGTAATGTCTCAACATTGTACACCTATATCTCCAAAGTTTGTGAAAAACTTAGTGATATAAAATAAGATACATATATTTTGTGTGGCTATAAATTATTGTATAAAGGTAAATTATTTTAAAATAATAAAAGGGATTCATTTTTTTGGCACAAACTAAAAAAGAAAATAGGTTCACATTAAAACGGAGAAAGTATTTCTTTGGACGGTCAAATAACCTAGTTTTAAAGGTATTTTTGTTTAATTTAGAACAATAAAGTCATTCATTTATTGCTTTTTAACAAAAAAAAAATATAAAATACTCATTTGGCATGTTATGTCTTATTAAAAAATAGATTTTTTAAAGATAAAACCCATTTAATTCATATTTCTTATGCTCATCTAACGCACCCGGTAATAAAGCTTGTCTAATTTAACTAAGAGTTAATACCCTCAAACCTACCTAAACTATACGATCTTTATCATTTCCCTACCTAAATTATCGACTGTCCCCAAAATCCCCCTGAACTATATCCCCCTTCATAATATTCCCCCCCCCCCCCCCCCGGTCTCAATCTTACTGGTGCGTATGATACACGCTCTAAATAAATTTTAAAACCTGCCATGTGGCATGCCACGTGGATAATTAATTACCATTATCTTAAAACGGGCTTAATTAGCATACATTAATTTAATTACGTGGTAAAAATTAAAAAAGGGAATTTTCAGTAAAAGTGGTCTCTTTTCTCTCATCCGAAAACTTCTCTCATCGGAGATGAGAGTCACCTTCGATTTCTCTTCTTAATTACCTTAATCTTATTGTTGCTACCATCGATTGCTCTTCTTATTGTTGCTGCTACTTCGAATCGGGAGTAAATATAAGGTTTTGCTGGTGAATCAATGTAAAAAATTATGGTTTAGGGTACTGAAGATTCATTTAATTATGAAGATTGTTTGAAGATTATTAAAGATGATAGCTTCAATACAGGTCCTATTCTGAAATGAAGCAACATATGACAGATAATTGAAAAAGTTCCTAACTTTTATAAGACAGATGTTTTATTGTGTATATGGTAGAAATCAGGGCTACCCGATTTCATTCTTTGGTTGAGATAGGAATGTCATATCAAAGAGCTAGGACGTCAAGTCCAGACCGTGGTCGACATCGATTGCATCCAGAAAGAGGCAGACTTCGAGTGACATTGGCATAGCTTGATAACGGAAAGGGCGAGATATCCGCGATTGGTCGAGGATCGTGGCGTGAATCTCGGAACAGATCAATCTACAGCGGTTAATTAGATGTTAATCTGGTTTCCTACTATAATTAGAAGTGTACCTTATATAGGACTCCTCTATTATATAAAGAGGGATCCCATTCATTTGTAAGCATGATTATTCTTCACTAACAAGAATATATATGCTCATTACTTTCCTGCTATTTCACTTATTGTTCATCAGAGTTGCTTTATCATTTACTATTCTTACTATCTCATTTCGAGACTACCCCAAGTCGAGGTCGAGACTTGACTAGCACACTAGTTTGATTTATTTTATTCTCTAATTTATTCATTTATTTTCTTGCTTATCAATTGGTATTGGAAGAAATCACATATCCTTAAAACCGTAATATAAGTTTAATTGTTATCCAAATTTTATGGTAAACAGTTTGGCGCCCATCATGGGGCTAAGGATAATAGTGATTGTTCGGTGCTGATTCTGATAATATACATTATTTTACGCTTTTTCTTGTCAAGTATCTTTGCTCTCAAGTTAAAACATGTCAAACTCACAAAACGCACCACACATGGTGAATATGGTCTCGGGTTTCACGGGGAAAATGACAATGTAATTGCTCCAGGAGTCGAGGTGCCACAGGATAATCTCGGGGGAGCACCGGTTGCCAATCCAGTCGATGTTAGTTCGCACGTTGCTTTAAATGCGGATCTAGGCGCGGATGATCACGCCCAACTATGCCTTATAAAAGACAAAGCGGTCGTTGCAAATATAATCCAGTTTTTTTCAAGTCCGGAGTCGAATCCTCAGGGAACTAACCTATCTATTACAACTCTTAGTGATGCTAATACAAGTTCAAACAATTTTCAGATGCAAGATTTTTATCAATAAACTATGATATTTGTTTAACTAAAGTAAAAAGATGTTAAAACTAACGATATTCCAAAATAAAGATAATTCAATGGTAAAAAGATCTAGGGTATTGATTTTCCCAATTGCTAGCTTAATTCTTAACTCTTTTGCTATAATCTCGCCGTAATACTCTATGAGAATTATGAGCTAAGGGTTATCGCAATTATCTCTCGATCAACTACGATAATTTACTAGAGCATTCTCTCGAACTACTCTAGCTGATAATTTATGCAGCTCTGAATTATCCCACCAAAGTTTCGTTATCTCTAACCCCACTTTTAAATTCAAGTAATGAATCTCTTCAATTAGCCAAAAGTGGTGTTGTTCAACAACAATCTAACCTAGTATTCTTTCTCAAGCAACACAAGGAAATTAGACATGATTAATCGAGGGCCCATTCAATTAATCACCATACAAATCATAGTTGAACAATCATATAATAAACCCGGCTCGATTATAATAAAATTGAGTCAAAACCTCATCTAACAATTGGTTCCATCAAACCTAGATTAAATGTTTAGCTACTCATAATTATTTTCATAATCACAACAGCAAAATTCATAATCAATGATCAACACAAAAGGAAGAAAGATAGAACTCGATGCCGAATTTTCCTCCTTGCCTCTTGCCTCTTCTTGCCTTCAACAAAACTCTAAAACCCTTGATACCCTTCTTTGGGCGACTTGGGCTTCTTATATGTTAAGGAGAGTTGCCCCCGAACTTCTGAAATTGCCCCTGGAATTAAGGTTCAGCGATCTGACAAGCGCGGTCGCGCTTGGGCCGCGCATTTTGCGTTCCATTCTGCTTGGACTAGCGCGGCTGGAGCGCGCCCGCGCTTAGCCCGCGATAGTGAGGTTCAGCTGTTTTCTCCTTTTCTCCGTCTTCTTCACGCGCATTCACCTCCGAGTGGCTTTCCTTGCTCCAAATTAGCTCCAGAAGCTATTCAATGTCCTCATAATCAATACTTGCTCCTGCAAATCACAAAAACCTCAATCAGAGCATTTTGTTATCATTTAGCACTGAAAAAATCAATAAAGTATGGTTAATTTCGAGAATAAATAGCATCTACATCGCATAATATAGGCTACTATCAACACCTCACACTTAAACCGTTGCTAGTCCTCTAGCAACAAAACCACACTCTATAGGCCTAATCATCATTGGGTCGCTTCCTACTCCTTATACCAAGAATAATTCACATAGGTAGACTACCTTAGCGTAACATCCTAGCCTCAAGAGTGGAGTCTCTCTCTAGCCACGTAATGTCCCTAACCGGCTTTCATACTCTCAGTCAGAGGTCCGGACTTACCTTTCCTTCATGAATCACGTGCCTACTCACCACAAAAGAGACTTGAATCATGGTCATTGTAATTCACACACTGAGGAATTCAAATACGTAAGATTCCACTCACCCTCAGAATGAAATTCTTATGCCACAAACAACGCACCATAGGCTTGCCCGTAGTGTAATACTCGACTAATCGAGCTCATTTGATCTAGAATCAAGTAGGACTTTATTTGGTTGTAATGTTGGCCGCGGGACAGGTAGGATACATATGGGTATAGTGACTACACCTCCCTAAGCACTTTAATACATCTTTCACTTTTAAGCCCATACCTTTGTCAAACCTTCATTCCACCTTTACATCATTGAGTTAAACCCTCTACTTCTTTAAGCACACTTACATCAAGAGTCACCACTCAGCAAGGAGGCAGAATACTTGGCCATATGTGCGACCTTAGCGCGGTCTGAGCACGGCCGCGCTCCTGGGCCTCGAGATTTTTCAACTTTTTTACCTCTTCCTTCAGCGTCTGATGGACTTATCACCTGCCCAAACTCACTTGCACTGGTTAGTACTTACTAAAATCAAAAATAACAAATTTTAACTACAATAAAGTCACTACGCATAGGGTTGCCTCCCAACCATCGCCTTAGTTAATGTCGTGGCACGACCCTTACAACAAATCAATAGGTTGCCTCCCATGCAGTGCCTGATTTAACGTCGCGGCACGACGCAGGCTCATGACATCACTCCTCATTTGTGTATTAGGGCTCCTCCAACGTTATCACTACGCTGCCCCCTTTTTCTTCAATCATTCCAAGGTAATGTTTCAACCTCTGCCCATTCACTGTGAATTTGTTCATTCCATCTTCAGATTCGATTTCCACAGCTCCACTTGGGAACATTTGCACCATTCTTAACGGTCCTGACCATCGGGACTTCAACTTATCCGGGAACAACCTCAATCTTGAGTTATATAGCAACACTAATTCTCCGGGTTCGAAGTTCCGATTCAAGATGTGCTTGTCATGCATCAGTTTCATCCTGTCTTTACATAGTCTAGCACTCTCGAATGCCTGGAACCGGAATTCCTCAAGCTCATGTAACCCATTAACTCTGTTGGTGCCCGTAGTTTCCATGTCTAAGTTCAGCTGCCGCAATGCCCACAGTGCTTTGTGTTCTAGCTCAATCGGAAGGTGGCATGCCTTCCCAAATACCAACTTGTATGGTGACATACCAATTGGAGTCTTGAAGGCTGTGCGGTATGCCCATAATGCATCATCCAGCTTTCTTTCCCAATCAGTTCTTGTTGCATTCACTGTTTTTGAGAGGACACTTTTGATTTATCTATTGGACACTTCCACCTGCCCGCTTGTTTGTGGGTGGTATGGTGAGGCTACCTTGTGGCGAACTCCATAATTCTCCAACAGGCGTACAAACGCTCTATTGCAAAAATGAGAGCCATTATCACTGATTATGGCTCGGGAGGTGCCAAAACGTGTGAAAATGTTTTTCTTGGGGAAACTGGTCACCCCTTTCGCATCATTGGTTGGGAGAGCAACTACTTCGACCCACTTGGAGACATAGTCAACGACAACCAGTATATACTTGTTACCGTATGAGCTGAATAAAGGCCCCATGAAGTTGATCCCCCACATGTCAAACACTTCCACGTCTTGGATTGTGGTTATTGGCATCTCATGATGACGGGATATGTTGCCCGTCCTTTGATATTCATCACAGCTTTTGACCCAATCATGGACATCCTTGAACAATGTAGGCCAATACAGGCCTGATTCCAGCACCTTTGCTGATGTTCGAATTCCTCCAAAGTGTCCACCATATGGCGAAGCATGGCAAGCCTGCAAAACAGAGGGGTGATCTTGCTCGGGGATACACCGCCGGATCATGTTATCAACACATATTTTGAACAATAGGGGTTCATCCCAATAATACGCACGACAATCACGGAAAAATTTCTTCTTTTGAATTGAGGAGACATCATGAGGTACAATACCACATGCTAAGTAATTAGCAATATCATCATACCATGGTGCCTCTTCCATTATCATAGCAAGTAATTGCTCATTCGGGAATGTCTCAGTGATATCTTCAACCTCCGTTCTCTTCTCTGCCCCTTCCAACCTCGAGAGGTGGTCTGCTACTTGATTTTTTGTCCTCTTTCGATCACGAATCTCCAGGCCAAATTCTTGTAGCAACAAAACCCAGCGAATCAAGTGGGGCTTTGACTTCTTCTTTGCTATTAAGTACCTAATGGCTGCATGGTCAGTATAAATAATAACTTTCGAACCAATAAGATATGACCTGAATTTGTCGAAGGCAAGCACTACAGCGAGCATTTCCTTTTCCGTGACCGTGTAGTTCAGTTGTGCACCACTAAGCGTCCTGCTTGCATAGTAAATTGGGTGCATGATTTTCTCCTTGCGCTGCCCCAAAACCGCTCCTATAGCGTAATCACTGGCGTCGCACATTAGCTCGAATGGTTGCTCCCATTTGGGTGCAACAATGATGGGTGCAGTCACCAATCTCTTCTTCAGCTCCTCAAATGCTAACCTGCAATAATCAGAAAACATAAAGTGCTACTCTTTTTCAAGCAGCTTACATAAGGGGTTAGCAATTTTGAAAAATCCTTGATGAACCGCCTGTAGAATCCGGCGTGCCCAAGGAAACTTCTCACTGCTTTCACTGAAGTGGGTGCTGGGAGCTTCTCAATCACATCAACTTTTGCATGGTCTACTTCAATCCCTTTTTTGGACACTCTATGCCCAACACTATGCCTTCTTGTACCATAAAATGACACTTCTCCCAGTTCAGCACCAAATTTGTCTCCACACAGCGTATGAGCACTCTTTTAAGGTTATGAAGACAATCTTCGAATGAATCCCCTACCATGGAGAAATCATCCATAAACACCTCCATAATGTCTTCGACCATGTCGGTGAAAATGGCTAACATACACCGTTGGAATGTTGCCGGTGCATTGCAGAGTCCAAAGGGCATCCTCCAAAAGGCAAAGATGCCGTACGGACATGTGAAGGACGTTTTCTCTCTATCTTCCGGGGCTATTGAGATCTGATTATATCCCGAGTGTCCATCCAAGAAACAAAAATGGGACCGCCCAGCTAACCTGTCCAACATCTGGTTTACGAAGGGTAAGGGGAAATGGTCCTTTTGAGTGGTTGCGTTTAATTTCCTGTAATCCATGCAAATCCGCCACCATGTGACTGTACGAGTTGAGATCAACTCGTTCTTCTCATTTTCCACAACTGTCATTCCACCCTTTTTCGGTACACACTGGACAAGAATTACCCAATTACTGTCAGAGATAGGAAAGATGATGCCCGCGTCCAGCCACTTGATTACCTTCCTTTTCACTACCTCCTTCATATTCGGGTTCAGCCTTCGTTGATGTTCCTTGGAAGGTTGGTGCCCTTCTTCCAAACAAATCTTGTGCATGCAGAAGGCCGGGCTGATACCCTTTATGTCTGCCATAGTCCAACCAATGGCAGTTTTGCATTCCTGCAACACCTGCAGTAATTATTCTACTTGCACAGCTAACAAACCAGATGATGTAATAAGATTGGGACCCAAGAAAGCATATCTAAGGGAGGCTGGAAGAGGTTTCAGCTCCAGCTGTGGTGGTTCCTCTATTGATGGTTTTGCAGGTGGTGTATCCCTCTTTTCTAACTTAAGGGGCTCGAACTCAGGCTCCCTCTTCCAGAATCCTTGGCCTTCAAGTGCCATGACCCACTCTGCCAATCCTTCACCGTCCATCTCCTCTAAATTTGTCAAACAAGCTCCCAATGGATCTTTAATGTTCAGGGTCTCATCATATTCATATATGATCACATCCACAGCTTCCACTAGTGAGCAATTTGCATATTCACTAGGTCTCCTCATGGATTGTTGAACGTTGAATATTACTTCTTCATCGTTCAACCTCATTTTTAATTCCCCAGTTTCACAATCAATCAACGCTTTCCCAGTGGCTAAGAATGGCCTCCCCAGAATGATGGGTATCTCCTCATCTACCTGAAAGTCCAGAATAACAAAGTCTGCAGGAAATACAAACTTTCCCACTTGTATCAGCACATCATCAAGAATCCCCGTCGGTCTTTTAATCGTGCGGTCAGCCAGTTGCAACAACATCAAAGTCGGTCTAGCTCTACCAATGCCCAGTTTTGTATATATCACCAATGGCATCAAGTTTATGCTGGCTCCTAAGTCACACAATTCTTTTGCAAAAGCATAACTCCCAATAGTACACAGAATAGTGAAGCTAACTGGATCGGACATCTTTTGAGCCATGGGTCGCGTCACTACTGCGCTATATGTATGTGTCATAGTCACTGCGGACAGGTCCTGAAAGTCAACTTTCCGTGACATCAGATCCTTCATCATCTTTGCATAGCCTAGCATTTCTCTCAAAGCATCCATCATAGGGATATTCAATTGAATCTGACGAAGCATCTCCATGAATTTCCTATATTGGTCTTCTTTCTTTTGTTTTGCCAGTCTCTGAGGGAATGGTGCAGTCATCACTCTTTGTTCACTGCTTGCTGGCTGTTCTTAGTTGGAATTTTGTGGAACAAGAGGTACCACCTGTTCTGCAACTTGTTCACTTTCCTTAGCTTTACCCTTATCAACCTGAGTTTGTTCAACTACCACTTCAGTGAGTTCCGCTGATTCATCTATCTCTACTGGAACTGGAGTGGCTGGTGTAGTCTGTCTTCTAGATTAAGCAACTTCTTGCTCCTTGTCTAAATCTCTCCCATTCCGAAGACTTACTGCCATCAGCTGATTCGGGTTTTGCTCCTTGGGGTTAATGTTCGTGTCGGCTAGCAATGTTCCCTGGGAGCGGTTATTCAAGGCCATGGACAGCTGCCCCAGTTGAGTTTCAATACCCTTAATTGCTGAGTCATGCGCTGCCAACTTTTCTTGCATCTTACCATTTGTTCCAATGAGCTATTGCAGCATACCCCTGAGTTCTACCATATTGCTGTCCTGTTGCTAATGAGGTGGCTGATATGTGAACTATTGCTGAGGCTGCTGTGATAGCCCTGCTGTCTCTGATATGGCACCATTTGGCCTTGGGGCCGCATACCTCCCGGTTGTGGCATGTTCGGTCTGTACTGCAGGTTGGGTGCTGATGCCCATTGTTGTCCTCCTTGCCTCTGACCCCCAAAGTTGTTGACATAATTCATATCCTCTCTTAACCCTTGGTTGTCACCTTCTCCACTCCATGAACACACATAAGACTGATTAATGCAAGGTGTACACAATCCTCCATTTGTTGTGTCAACTATATGCACTTGCTTTGTACCTATCTCATCAATCTTCTTTATTAGTATACTCATCTGAGTCATGATTGTGGCTATGTTCTCTGCATGTGAATTATTTGGGTTAAGAGGAACTGAATGCACTATTGGTGACAGGATCGTACCTCTCGTCATCCACCCTGAATTCTGAGCCATCTTGTCAAGAAGGATTTTACACTCTGTGAATGTCTTGCTCAAGAATGCACCCCCAGCTGAAGCATCTACATTGGCCTTTAAATTGTTTGCTAATCCATGTAGAATCTCTAACCGAGCATCTGGTATGGAATACCATGGTGGGGACACTTCACTAGCATCCCTTTGAATCTTTCCCCAGTTTCCTGCAAGGTCTCAGTGGGCTGCTGCTTGAACTGCAATCTCATCAATTTGTCTTGCAATCTTGTTGGGCGGGTAAAACTTGTTCAGGAACTGCTTGACTAATTCCTCCCAAGTGGCAATGGAATTTATTGGGAGCGAATTTAGCCAAGTCTGAGCTTCCCCAGTCACAGAGAACGGGAACAGTAACAACTTGATGGCTTCTGGGGTCACATTTGGCTGCCTTTGGGTCACACAAATTGATAGAAAATTTTTCAGGTGTTGTTGAGGGTCTGGAATGTCTACGCTTGTATTTGGGGCACAATAATGGCAGTGGCCAGATTCTCAGCTGTTGGCTGTGCCCGATCATAAAGTGCAGCTTCTGGCACAAGAGGTGCCACCACTGCTTCGTTTGGCACCTCAATGTTTTCCCTGTTGTCCATTTCAGTTGCGAGTTGGTGTGTTTGTTGTGATTGTTTGTTCTTCTTATTGGCACGGTTCAATGCCCTGAATGTTTTCTCGGGGTCTGAGAGTCCTTCAAGCAGTTCACCAGTCCTCGAAGAATTTCTAGGCATACACCTGAGTCACACAAGAGATTAAACGTGAGAATTTCAATGAAAAATTATTTAACACCGTAGAAAATTGATCTAAACTAATACTTCTAGCACTACTTCTAAGTTGCAATAAGTAACACCGTTAATTCCCCGACAATGGCGCCAAAATTTGATCACGCCCAACTATGCCTTATAAAAGACAAAGCGGTCATTGCAAATATAATTCGGTTTTTTTCAAGTCCGTAGTCGAATCCTCAGGGAACTAACCTATCTATTACAACTCTTACTGATGCTAATACAAGTTCAAACAATTTCCAGATGCAAGATTTTTATCAATAAACTATGATATTTGTTTAACTAAATTAAAAGGATGTTAAAACTAACAATATTCCAAAATAAAGATAATTCAATGGTAAAAAGATCTAGGGTATTGATTTCCCCAATTGCTAGCTTAATTCTTAACTCTTTTGCTGTAATCTCGCCGTAATACTCTATGAGGATTATGAGCTAAGGGTTACCGCAATTATCTCTCGATCAACTACGATAATTTACTAGAGCATTCTCTCGAACTACTCTATCTGATAATTTATGCAGCTCTGAATTATCCCACCAAAGTTTCATTATTTCTAAACCCCACTTTTAAATTCAAGTAATGAATCTCTTCAATTACCCAAAAGTGGTGTTGTTCAACAACAATCTAACCTAGTATTCTTTCTCAAGCAACACAAGACAGTTAGACACGATTAATCGAGGGCCCATTCAATTAATCACCATACAAATCATAGTTGAACAATCATATAATAAACACGACTAGATTATAACAAAATTGAGTCAAAACCTCATCTAACAATTGGTTCCATCAATCCTAGATTAAATGTTTAGCTACTCATAATTGTTTTCATAATCACAATAGCAAAATTCATAATCAATGATCAACACAAAAGGATGAAAGATAGAACTCGATGCCGAATTTTCCTCCTTGCCTCTTGCCTCTTCTTGCCTTCAACAAAACTCTAAAAACCTTGATACCCCTTGTTTGGGCGACTTGAGCTTCTTATATGTTAAGGAGAGTTGCCCCCGAACTTCAGAAATTACCTTTGGAATTAAGGTTTAGCGATCTGACGAGCGCGGCTGCGCTTGGGCCGCGCATATTGCGTTCCATTTTGCCTGGACTAGCGCGGTTGGAGTGCGCCCGCGCTAGTGAGGTTTAGCTGTTTTCTCCTTTTCTCCGTCTTCTTTCACGCGTATTCACCTCTGAGTGGCTTTCCTTGCTCCAAATTAGCTCCAAAAGCTGTTCAATGTCCTCATAATCAATACTTGCTCCTGCAAAGCACAAAAACCTCAATCAGAGCATTTTGTTATCATTTAGCACTAAAAACATCAATAAATTAGTTAATTTCGAGCATAAATAGCATCTACATCGCATAATATAGGCTACTATCAGCGGACCTCGAAGGGAGTGTACGCAGAGAAGGCCAATCTAGTGGCCAAGGTACACAGGGCAGAGGAGACGGAGGAGTTAGTCTCCAGGTGATATTCGAGATGCTACAGACTCAACAGGCCGCTATTTCCCAGTTACAAAATCAACATAGAACTCCGAGTGGATTCGAGCCAGAAATCACTAGCCGTACCGAGCCAGTGCCAGAAAGGTCGAATGGTAACGAATCGGGGATTGATCCTGCAATAATGAAAATGCTCGAGGAGCTCACCCAAAGAATTGAGTCAAGAGAGAAGAAAATCGAAGCTAATGATAAAAAAGTGGAAACATACAACTCCCGAGTTGATCAGATACCGGGGCACCACCAATCTTGAAAGGGATGGAGTCGAAGAAATTTGTACAAAAGCCGTTCCCTTCGAGTGCGGCTCCGAAACCCATTCCAAAGAAGTTTCGTATGCCGTACATTCCTAAATACAATGGGACCACCGATCCCAACGAGCATGTCACCTTCTACACATGCACCATCAAGGGTAATGATTTGGAAGATGATGAGATCGAATCTATTTTATTGAAGAAGTTCGGGGAAACCCTATCGAAGGGAGCAATGATTTGGTACCACAATCTACTACCCAATTCCATCGACTCGTTTGCCATGTTAGAAGACTCTTTCGTAAAGGCACATGCCGGAGCCATAAAGGTTGCGACAAGAAAATACAACCTTTTCAAAGTAAGAGAGAGGGATAATAAAATGTTGAGGGAGTTTATATCCCGATTTAAATGGAACGCATGGAGTTGACACCGATCACAGATGATTGGGCCGTTCAAGCTTTCACCCAGGGATTGAATGAACGAAGTTCGATAGTATCACGTCAGCTGAAGGAAAATTCGATCGAATATCCGGCTGTAACTTGGGCAGATGTACACAATCGGTACCGATCAAAAATCAGGGTCGAGGATGACCAATTAGGAGCTCCTTTCGTTTAAGTTCACCCGAACAGGTCAACCGCCAAAAATCAGAGGGACATCGATAGAGAGCCAAGATCGAACAAAGACCGATATCAACCGTACACCTCAGATCGCAGGCACAGTGGTCTAGGAGGAAATCACGCCCGGAACGATCGGAGAAGCGGTCGAGGACAAAATTCTCTGGGACTCATGAGAAAAAATGGTTTTGACAAGTACGCCGACCCTACAGAGGCACCTCGATTATCAGAGTATAATTTTAGTGTCGATGCGTCAGGTATTGTATCAGCAATTGGAAGAATCAAAGACACTAGATGGCCTAGGCCCATACAGACCGATCTTCCCAAAGGAACCCCAATCTGATGTGTAAATATCATGGCACGCATGGCAGGACCGAGGATTGCAGGCAATTGAGAGAGGAGGTAGCCCATTTATTCAATGAGGGCCACCTTCGAGAATTGCTAAGTGATCGAGCCAAGAATCATTTCAGGTAAAGAGACGCCAACAAGAAAATTGAGCAGGAAGAGCCACAACATGTAATTCATATGATCGTCGGAGGGGTCGATATTCCACAAGGGCCCGTGTTCAACGCACTAAGGTATCAATTACTAGGGAGAAACGGACCTGAGACTATGTGCCAAAAGGCACCGTATCATTCAACAACGAGGAGGCATAAGGGATTTCTTAGCCTCATAACAATGCTCTAGTAATCTCTATCTTATTAAATAAAGTTCAAGTTAAGCGTGTTTTAATGGATCCAGGTAGCTCAGCAAATATCATCCGATTGAGGGTCGTGGAGAAACTCGGCCCAAGATCAAATCGTGCCCGCAGCTCGGGTGTTGAACCGTTTCAATATGGCCAGTGAAACAACTAATGGAGAGATTATCCTAC